CTCTCTCTCTCTCTCTCTCTCTCTCTCTCTCTCTCTCTCTCTCTCTCCTTGTCTCATGCACACACATTCCCTGGCACCGAGAACGATACAGTTTAAATCCACTGTTAGCGAATTATCCTGGAACTACCGCAGAGCATCCTCTTGAAGGCTTGCCTGAACTCTGGCGAGAACACTGTATAGATCACGGGATTCAGGGTGCTATTGAAGTAGCCCAGCCACAGGAAGAAGTTCGCCATGAGCTCCGGTGGCTCGCATACGTCGCACGTGGCGCGTAGTAACGCCACCAAGAAGAAAGGCAGCCAACAGGCGACGAACGCGCCGGTTATTATCGCCAGCGTCTTCGCTGCCTTCCTCTCGCGCTTCGACTCGATCGTCTCGCGAGTTCTCTTCGTGGAGGAGGTCGAATGGCTGCTCGATGGGTGCGTGACGGTGGTCGCCGTGGTGGTCGTCGTCGTGGACACCGTCGACGGCGTCACCGTGGCCGACTGCGTCGTATTCGCACCGTTGTACGACGACGATTTCTCTGGCGAGATCGACGAGTGGTCTGGCGTTGATCTCGTTATGGTGAACGCCGTTGACTCCTCCCTTGGCCTGAAACGAGTTGCATCGAGTTACCAGCGACCTTCGGGGCGTGCAAACGCTTAAAACGACAGGGGGGGATAACTTCTTTTTCTTTTTTCTTTTTGCGTGAAGATAGATGAAGTTTCGAGTGGAAAACTTTGTCGATGGTCGAGCTGGTTTGAACTTACTTTACGGGACGTTCTCGAACGACTTGCACTCTTTATCGCACGTTTGTTTCATAAGCTAAAAAGCATTTTATCATAGGGATGTTTGGTTATATTTTTTAGCACATGTTCTAATAAGAAATTCTATTTATATATTATGTATTTAGTAGTTGTGCCGTATGAATTTTATGATACCTTTCTATTTTTCGGTAAAAGAAGAGAACATTAATTATTATTTGATAAAATATTTGGAATTGCAAAGTATAGTATACCGTTTTACGAATATTTCATTTCAAAGTGTTAAAGTTCATTTATTGTATGGTACATGTAGCGAGCTATTTGGCTAGGGTAACTTCATACGAACAAAGTAATTAAATTAGGCAGTTAAGAAGTAATACAAATAAAGAAATTAATAAGTGTATAGAACTAATTGCATTTATGGCAAAATGTTGTACAGAGGTACGTCCGCAAACGTCCCGTTGCTAAGTGACATTCGTCCAAAGTTTCTAATTAGCGAACGTGTTTGAATCGAATGTCAATCATGTCAAACACGATTCTAATCCGCTCGAAACGATGGCGCAACGTAACCAATCGGAGATAGGTATCAGATATCGATGAAAATTACGATTAGAATTTGCAAGATGATATTGTGAAGCTCTACCCTTCCGGAAAGTAGGCCATTTCGATCATTTTATTTGATGCGCAAGTTTGAGAGTCATTTCGTTAGCCCAAAAATCGTTTTATCGAATTTAAGAGGTCATAACGAGCCCCAGTAAAATATTTAATTAAAGAATGTCAGGAAATACAACACAATCGAATAGAGTTTAAATTTTCAAATATGTCGTATGCATACAATCCTTAACAACAGAAACGAATTCCTCAAATTATTCAAGATATTATTGAAATATAACGTGTTAAATAAATTATAATTAAATTGTAATCATTGACGATGTCATTAATAACCTCGTAGTTGATGTGACCTTAAATAAAGTAATTGAATAAAAGAAGCAAATTAAGGGGACAGAACATTGTAACACAGATATGAGAAAGTGACGGAAAATAATGTGTAACAGAATAATAACTTAAAAATGGGAAATTTAACGAAACAGAGCGGTAAGGTTGCTAGAGAAAATTCTATTCGTGTCTTAATTTCCACTTTCCAAGGCGGACAAACTAGTCCAGCGACTTATGGACGACAGGGTAACGTCTAACAATTCGAAAGCGTAATTAGTGCGCCGCGTGCAAAAATCAGCCTCGCGGAAATACTGAATGAAAGAGGGTAACTTAAATTGCGCCTCTAACGAGTCTCGTAACGTGTAATCTGCTGAGAACCGCGACCTTCTTGTGACGAGTCTGAGGATGCCTCTTCTTTCACGGGGTGGTTGCACGATAGTGCCTGGCCTCTTCCTGATTCGCTTTCGTGCAGCTTGGAATATCCTCCAGTACAGGAATAGAATGACGAGCAGGGGCAGATAGAAAGTGGCGCAGGTGGCGAAGATCTGCAAAATATTTCAAGAAAATTCCCATTTCATTTCTCGTTTCGAGTGTAGTTTTCAATTACACTTTAAAATTTTCTCACTGTTTTCAATTTTTCGTAAAAACGAGAAAAGTCATTATCAAATATCGCTACGAATAATTCGAGATTTAACGAAGTCTATAATAAACAAAGACTGTCGCTTCTAAGTTGCCCCTCGAGTGCAAAGGGTTAAATAGATATTTTTGAGACCGTATACACGTACAAAAATAAAACAATTGAAGAATTGTAATTCCAAAGACATTACCAATATTCTTCGAAAAATTATTTTTTCAAATGAAAGGATATACGAAGCAAAAACAACGATCTATTTTAGGATGACAGTTACTTAAAAGTGATTTTATTCGAATAATTGATAAAGAGCTGTTTCTGTTTAAGTACACACAGAAAATTTTGAGAATTTGAATCGTGTGATTTTTATTGAAGATTGAACGAGACTAAAAGAGTCCCATACACGATTCGAATCATAAACGATCTGGAATATGTATCGAACATTTATTTTGTTAATAATTGCATCTTAATTAAGAAATCCCTGTCGTGCCTTGGTTGAATCGAGGTGGAAGGCTGGCCAATACCGAAATTGCGCGTCGTCGATTCTGATTTATCAAGAAGCACCAACCTGGTATGCAGGATCCTGAGACACCAGACACGTTCCGTCGGCTATACGGTCTAAATAATCAGGATCTTTCCAGCCGAGTTGGGGTGCCAACGAGATTCCTAAGGACACCAGCCAGACGGTGACGATCAGGATACCGATCCTCCTCGGATTCCTCGCCTGGAAGTAAAGAAATTCCTTCAGCGGCTGTCGCACTCGAGAATCCCTCGATTTCAGCCCCATCGGGGCCACTATTTTTCTGCGCCAGATATTTTTATATCCCCGTGTTCGAGACGGTATTCAGGCCAAGGTCTGGACGCTTGCATATCGAGGACGTTTAGTTATTGGCAGTGTCTTTTCTTTTTTGTAAATAAAAAGGTACTCGTAATTTCTCTTCAACTTTTAGGGGCTGCCATATTTTCTCTGGGTCAAGAAATAGATTTTTCGTTAGGATATGCTTGAGGTACTAAAAACCGAAGTTATAAATTATATTATATTAACACATTCGGGACCGGCAGATATTTTACGCAATACTGACGAAAATAATAAAATTCTGAAGCTGGACATCGCAAATATGTATCGTTAGGGTTAGAGTTTGAAATATCAATGTTGTAAATATATAGTGTATAAAACAAAAAGATTTTCATAATATTTTCGTAACCAGGAATAGAATTTAAAGCAACGTGAATCACGTCAGCGGTTGCGAATGTATTAAAATACAATTTATCATAAATATTAGAATTTTTACTTCAAGAATGTTTCCCTAAAGAGAACCTAAAGACCTAAGGACAAATTATTGGTTATACATATACGTTTCAAGACGAACGGAAGTTATGTTTTCTTTACTCAACAATTTGTTTGTTATTAAATTAAATTAAAGCAAGTAATCGACGCGAATTTTCTCAATAATGTAATTAATACGAAGCTCTGGTTACGAGGTTGACGCAAATAACCCATCTGTCAAAGTTTCCGTTGGACTATGTCGAATGGGTGTATCGATACTCCAAGACCAAGAGGATTTCAACCGAAGACTGAACGGTTCAAGTAAGTTCTCGAATGATCGAGCGCGATTTAGGCAATTGCGATATGCGCCCTGTTCCGTTGCCAGAACTATTTCAATATAACTCACCGTTTCGCTCAGGATAGCTAGCTCCTCGAACTACAAGGATATCATCGTAATCCCGAGTCTCAAATCCCAGAGCAGGGAACTATCTCGAATATGCGGGTACCGGTACCAGAATATCATAGGATTTAGATTCGATTAACTGTCGGCTGTCATTGATACGATACCAGCTTGATTGCTCGATACGAAGCAGTGCACGGAATTTCGATACATTCATCCGATACCACACTTAAATAATCAAAATCTGTTTCGACGCGCCTCGAGGGGCTGCATACAGGATTGGGTACAATTTAGAGAAAAATATTTTAAATACTACTCCAACACTTTATCTGCAAGAAAGGTTATTTATAGGATTCTAATAATTTCGTTCTTGATTGCTTACTTACAATACACGAATCGAGAAAATAAATAAGGCGTTAATAAAAGAAATAATATTTTAATTGTGGAAACAAATAATTCACGTCAAATTCTAATTCACTTCAAATTCTATTCTTGGTTGTCCATTATCCAGCTTATAAGCAAGTATACGAATTATGAATATCTTTTTATTTTATAAGCTACACGTTTACAACATTGATATTCCAAAACATATTTTGTAATTTTTATCTTCTTTCTAACGATACATATTTGCGATGTCCAGCTTCAGAATTTTATCTTATAACAGTATGTACGAGCTAATATTAGCCACTATTAATATATTTTAATGTAGAAAGTTCTCTTCTAAAGTGCAGACTCAACTTGGGAAAACAGGCAAGGGTTTTGATATACTGTAGAGTAATATATATAGCAATCTAGAAAATCCTTATTTAAATTGTACAATGCTTCTAAGTAGGCCAGTTATTAAAGTGTTGAATGCAGTTAAAATAACGCATAGTTCAATAAAAATAATATTTTATATTTCCTTTCTATAAAATTGCTAAAAAGAACGAGCTTATACTTTTCACAAAAACACTTTCACAACCCTTCTGTTTTTTTTCAGGCCTCCTGGTAGATGCAACCTCTCGAGGGGGATTATACATTCAGGAGGATAAATAAAAATCCATTTTTCCCCTTTGTTTTAACATGATTGATCTTTCGCCAATATCCTGTAAAAGTTTGAAGGCAATATTTGCGAAATTGACGAAGATACAAAGCCTTAACCGAAGCATGGCAGGTGATCTATCCGTTCGACAGATTCTCATACACATATTGGCATGATGCACAAGCACGTGCCGCTTTACATTGAACAGAATTTTGTTCCAAAGAGAATAACTCCTTAGTCATGTATTACGTGGTATCCGATAGCGCTCTTTATACTTTTCAATATTACTTTAGTTTTTTCCTGACAGATTCATCATTTTTCTTCCAGATACCCAAATACTGAAAATGATCGCCACGATTTTCAAAGAAAAGTTAGTCAGTTAACAAACGGTAGCAAAAATTGGACAAATGATCTTATTTATTAAGAAATCGAAGCCAACTCAATTTTTTTTTTTTTAAATTAAACTACTACGTTCTCTTCAAACCAATATTAAGATTCTCGGATTAAAAACCGACCAGCCTAAAAATGAATCACGAATATTGCCTGGATCGTCCATATACTCGTCGCACCGTGCCACGCTCCGATGTTTCAAAGACTCGCGAGTTCCTCGTATTGCGACAAAACTCTCCCCTCTAGCTACGCGGAAAGAAAGGAGGCTCCATTACAGGAGTTCATTCCAGAGCACTTTTCCGCGCAATTCAACGGGATCTCGAAGAAAAAGGAACCGAACAACGTCGCTCACGGTCGTGCACGCAACGGTCCAACTAATTGCATCCTCCACTTTAACGATCCCCCGTACCACGGTGGCACAAAGGGAGCAGGACACCGAGAACCCGATTATCGAATCACATCCTGGGATCGATATACGAGCGTATCAGCGCGGTCTGATCTCCTTCGCGATACTGTCGTCCCTACGGGTCCCTAGCACGCGATTGTGACGCAAGTTCCGTCATTCGTTCGGGGTTCCGGTGCACGGTTCGCTGATCGCAGTCGACCGCGACGGGTGTTAATTAACCTGTATATAATTGAGATCGGTGACTGCCCAATATCTGTCGACCGCGATAGCCACCAGATGCAATATCGAGGCGGTGCAGCAGAGAACGTCGCTGCTGGTCCACATGTCGCAAAGCTCTGGTCCGAGCGACCAGCTGGAGTTTATCTGTAATAAACAGAATTATCTGTTAGGAGGGTGTGTGCGTGGCGTCGTTCGTGCCTCGTCGGGATGGATCGATGCGCCACGAGGATCCTGAGGGTGTCTTTAACATCGACACCCTCTCCAGGGTGATCCTCGAGGCATCGAGCCTTGGGACCCGTGTACGCGAGCGTTCGAACGTCTGGGGATCATCTCGAGGACAGTTTCATCGAACGGTCAGTTATTGGCCTAGTTTTCGTGGCTCTGTATATTAAGAGAAAAAAAGAAAACATAGCGATGGAGATGGTTTGGAAAGTGTGGGGAAAAAAGGAAAACAGTATTTGATAGTCGTCGAACAAGTTATTTAAGTTATTAACCCTTTCAGATCTGGCGTCCACAATTAAGGACACAAAATACTCGTACGTTACCGACGATTTTTTTACAGGACAACGTATACGTCTTAATTATATTATGTCTCTGATAATAATATTGATGCCGGTTGACATTACCATCAACCTGAAATATCAAACTAATCCCTTGAAAATTGTTTGCAGAAAAAAACTTCCATCCCATAGAAGGTTAACATAATTTTAATATAATTAAAATTCATTCGAAATCATCGATTCATTTCTACACGAAGAATTATTTTCGACCATTCCATGAACAAGAAGTGCTTCGTACGATTTCAATCAATCTGTTGGGCAAAGATTACATTCAATTAACTTTCGTCATCAATCTTGGCAAACCTGCCAGATCGTGGGTCATCTGTTGAGATTGATTGCATAATCACTACCGATCGCAACGTGACTTAGACTGTTGTAACTTATATCCCTTCAACTGATTATTTGATTAAGAAACAATAAAAGTTTCTATTGCGTCTATCAGGTTCTGATAAATCATCTCATATGCTCGTGTCCACAGATTGTGTTTATGTTTGATAAAAAAGTTAGAAAAATTGCATAGCGACTAGCGAGGAAAACTGTGCATTTATCGTAAATGAAACGGTGGGGAAATGTATGAGAAGGTGCACAAATGCAAACATGTATTAAATACCAGCGATAATATACATATTATACCGTTCAAAAAATTAAATATACTTTCAATTCTCTTTGCGTGTCTAAGAAATCATTAATCAGCATAAATATCCACAGTTCAATGATTACATTTTTTTTTATAATGTTTCAAGGTATGCTTCACACATTAATTTCAATACCAGAACAATAAATGGCCCGAACTCGCGCGGGGACCTAATAAGCAACGACCTATCAGCAATCCACACATTCGCGCTACTTCATAGTCGATAAACGGTTCCGCTGTCCACCGTCGCACCGTCGGGAGTCTCCACAAAGCGAGTGTGCGACGAGTGAATTTAATTCCACTGTTTCGACGAAACTTTCCCGATAATGTTTACGAGTTGTGCACGAGCAAGATTATTCTCCCGATTGTAATGAACGAAACGTCAGGTTTAGCGACAATGCGCGTCTCCTCGAGGTTGAAACAGGAAATGAAAGGTCCGCCGAGGATTTCAGCCGAGCGTATTCAACGCCGCTCGCAGGCTTACGAGTTGCACGTCCCGACATCCTTTCTCGTCCTACGAACGTGGAATTGATTTTCAACTTTCGCTACCGCCGGGTTAAACTCCATCTAACGCTCCCCCTCAACTTGTTAACCGTTTAACGGACACTTTTCCGACCCGTGTTCGCCGACTTTTGGGCATTCATCGAAACAAAAGCGGAGCTCTCGAAATGAATTTACTCGAGGCAGCGCTGAAAGCCCTCGTCCAGCATCGAAGCCAAAGTCTAATTACAGCTGGTCCCTATGGCGGAAAATACAATAATGGAAGCATAATAACGGGGTAGTCTCACGGCAAAATTGTAATATCTGTTTCCGCGACAGTAACCGTAGCAATAACAGCCGGAATAACGAACGCTACGGTAGCAGCCGAGTCGACAGTGGAAATACCAGTAATATCGTGGAACAAAGTAGTACTTCTCGCTATACTGTCTAGAAGCATCAAAGACAAATCCAGAGTGTCTAAACCCTAAAAATAAATTCCTACTCATCGTTATTCGTCCCTAGTCACCCACGCACCGATAAGTGTCCGAAGGCCGAACGCGTCCTGGTGGAAAATCGCTTCGGCTTTCCACGAAGGGAACGCACCAAGACTTCCCCCTCGTAATTGGCCTAGTTACCAGACGACGATCGCTCATTTCTACGACGCACGTCTCGTGTAACTTCGATCGTAACATGTGGTAGAAGCTGCTCGGCCCTGGCCGAAGACAAGGATATCGGAGTACGATGGCTCAAAGGTACGAGTTTTGTCGACGTGGGGTAGCGAAGGACGGGGAGGAAGTGCGAGGGTTACAGGGATATTCGGCGAGGGAGCTAAAAAGCATCTCGTTTTATGAACGGTGCCTTGTTCGCCTCGGGAAGAAACGGGGAGGCTTCCCTTCTCGTCGAGACGCGATCTTCGGCGAGTGATCTTCTTTTTCGTCGAGGAAACATCTGTACACGGTACTCGCTAATAAGGAACGAGTAGGACATCGATCTTTTCAAAAGATTTGCTGTTAGGGAATTTAGGAATTGGAAGTTTATGGCAGAAGCAACTTGTCGTTCCTTTTGCTAGCCAGAAGAGAAGGAAAGAATTCTTCTTCTCGGCTACGTTTATTTTGCACATTATCTTTCGTCGTTTAACCCTGACATAAACTCACAAAATAATTATTTCAATTCAAGCTCTTTCCAGGAAATTACTTCAACCGATAAATGTTAGCCACTACGTGCTCTGAATTTCCTTTTTCCTTCACAAACGGTAAACGTCAACGTTTTCACCTGGAAAATATTTTTGAATCGCCAAACAGCTGGAAAGGTCGCTGACAATTTTACGAACGTTACGTTTGCACGGGCCTCATTAATTTAAAGCGCGCGTTTCCCGCCCGGAAACGCACCTGACCGAGAGTTTTCTTATCCGCATCCGTTCGGATGTTCCCACCTGGCTAATTAAAGATGCCCGCCCGGTTAATTAGAAATGTCGAGCCGGTGGACGTAGACGAAGGGTTTCGGTAAACGCGACGAATTTATCCGCCCGCGAAAATTTATGGCGAGCCACCGGGCGAGAACTAGGAGGTCCAAGGGAGGACGGGCGACGCAGTCGCGATAAATAATTCATATGCAATAAATAATAAAAGTGGCGAGTGCGTTCGTTCAGGCGAAGTATTGGCGTGTAGGGAGCGCGCAGATTCTAAATTCGAAGTTGCTCGGGTACAAATTTTAAATCACGAGAGAGACGGGGTGGCCCGTATATTCGGTATGGCAGATTTAAAAGGTTGTTCCATATTTCGAGCGTCATTTCCTAAACAAAGTTCCTTCTGCTTGTGCCAAAGTTGCGCGAGATAGTTTCCTTGGGATTTACGAAGCCGCCCTTTTTCACAGTCTGCATTTTTGGTTTCATTTACGCTACGCAGCCCTTTACGAGATTATTAAGAATACAGTAGTATAGTGGAATAATACAGTTAGGAATACAGTAGGATAGTGGAATTTCCGGATAATAGAACAATTATTTTATTTCGTATTAAATATCATTTATTCAAATAGAAATGAACAAAATTGAGTTTCTTCCAACAACTGAGGGTCCTATTACTTTTTAACCGTTAAGTCGCACATTTTGTATTGCAAACAGCTGCGTAGAATTCCCGTTGTGTTTTTTAATATCTGTAATCGTAAATTTCCCAATACCACATATTCTCGCTAATTTTGTTGCAATTACACCACTTTCAAGATCTTTAATTATTTTAATGGAGGTACGGATACAGAAGTCTCTATAATAATATGCGCATTAGTGCGTGTACCAATCTTTAAATTTTGATACAGATTCAATTACTTTGTTCTAATCAAGCAGTTAGATTTCTGTAGCCGATTCTCAATTTTGTTAGAGTCGTTGGTGTCGCTCCACGACATTAACCATTTGCTTTCTACGCGCAGAAGTTTCATACTCGAATAAATCGGGACGCTTGCGATCAAAGGAAACGCATACGTGTAGAGGGAACGTACGCGATACAGGGAACTTGTAAACTTTGCCAATCAGCCGGTGCAAATTTGCTACAAAGGAGAGAAGAAGTGCGGAACAAAGCGTCAATGGGAACGTTCCCTTTGGCCCCTGAGAAAAGAAATTCAATTCCCGAGGCGAGGATCTTTCCTGGAGATCCATTACACGAGGGACCAAGGTGATCGGGAACTGTGAATGTAATCGCAACACCGTAGTCATGCATCGGTGTGTTGGAAACAAGCTATGATTACACGTCCGAATACACGGTATCGAGAGAAAGAGAGAGAGAGAGAGAGTTGGAAAGCATTTGTTCAGCGCGCAATAGAATCTCCGGCTCGGCTGCCTCAGCGGGATCGGCCTCGTAAATCATCTGTTCGCGTCAGCGAGTAACGTATGTACTCCCTAGTAAGGAGATTAGGATCGATATCGGTATCGAAGTTCCAGCGGACCGATCGCGTTGCGAAACATTGGGATATTCTCGAATCCATTAAAAAATTGATCTATTGATTAATCTTCCGTATTAGTTAACCCTTTTGAACTCAAGTCTTCGATTTTTCCTCTAAACTTTGTCACTTTAGTGACCCCTCAAGATTATTTCAAAATATATAAAAAAAATTTCCTAATTCACGTTGTAGCTAGAAGTGTCTTTTATGTATGTGTAAAATTTGAACTCGATCTGAAATGCGAGTTTTGATACATCTTTAAATTTCGATGACATAATAATAAAACAATAAGAATATTAACAAAACAAAATCTATTTTTCAACCCTGGAATAAAAGAGCATCCTCTTACGTCACCCCTGACGTCATATTTCCTGCATTCGATAAAACAAATTACCTGGACGCAGTTTTATCCAAAAAAATGCTTGGACTATACACTTTTGTAACCCCTGTCACAGACGAATACCGAATTTTAAAATTGATTCGGATTGTGGGGGATGTTTGTTCAATTACTTGATGGATTTATCGAGTCGAAAATATCGGGC